GTTTTCGGTTTCTCGCGCACCTCTAGAAGGGAGGTTACGTGTTAGCGAGGGGACGTCATTGGAAGAAGATGAAGAAGGATCAAACGAGGGAAGAGGAAAAGAAGAAGACGACGGAGCAGAAGAAGAAGAAGGAAGCCAGCCGAAAAGAGAAAGAAAACCGTCCACGGTGACGGTCAGCGAGCGCGAGCTGAACCCTGACCCTTCGTCCGTTGTCGTCCATACTCGTTCCCGGTCGCTCGGGCCCTCTTTCTCCCTCCCACGTGGCCTGACGACTCCGTGGAGCCCCAGCGTGGGCGAAACTCACGCGCGGGGGAGTAAGAGGTAAGGTACGAGGTGGGCCGTGAGGAGAGGAGAATAAGAAGACGAGGAAGGGGCGGAGGGGGTGACGAGTTGGCCCGCGGGCGTCCCGGGACCGTGAGAACACCACCTATAATATTATTTAGTCTGCCTCGGTGAGCCTCTCTTCTCTCCTGTGCTGTCCCTCTTTGTCTCTCCTCTCTTTTCTCGCGTATCCGCTCACTCTCTCTTTTTCGCTCTCTTTCTTTCTTCCTCTCTCTGTTCCTTGTTCCCTTCGTACGTTCGTTTTCTCTCTTCTGTCCTGTAGCTTCTCTACTCACCTTCTTCTTCTTTGTCTCCTTCATCGACTTCTTCTTCTCCTTTCTCTTCTTCTTCTTCTTCTTCTTCTTCTTCTTCTTCTTCTTCTTCTTCTTCTTCTTCTTCTTCTTCGTCTTCTTCATCGACTTCATCTTCTTCTCCTTTTTGCCTTCTTCATCGACTTTATCTTCTTCATCGATTTTATTTTCTTCATCGACTTTATCTTCTTCGTAGATTTTATCTTCTTCATCAACTTTATCTTTTCCATTGAGTTTTTCTTCTGCATCGATTTTATCTTCTTCATCGATTTCATCTTCTTCTTCTCTTTTTTCTTGCTCTTCTTCTTCTGCATCAACTTCTTCTCCGTTGCCTTCTCCTACTTTCCCTTCTTCTTCTTCAACTTCTCCGGTTCATTCTCCTACGCCTTCTTCTTCGTCTTCTTCGTCTACATCATCCACTTCTCCTTCCGTCTCTTCTTCTTCTCCTTCTCTTGCTTCTTCCTTTTCTTCTTCTTAGTCTTCTTCATCAACGTTATCCGCCTCTGCTTTTCCTTCTCCTTCCACATCATTTTCTACTTCTTCTTCCTCTTCCTTCTTTTCAGCTTGAATCCCTCAAGTTCATCTGACTCGCTTCTTCCCGCGCGATATAGCGCGTGCAGGGAACGTGTCCGTCTTTCTTTCTCGCTGCGCGGCTCGTCGCGGCGAAGAGGCAGCTAACTATAGGCGCTATACACGGTTTACTCGCGCGCATTAATTGCCGTCGTAAATTGTTGCGGCTTTGCAGCCGAGTCGAAACACAGCGGCGGCGGCGGCGCGGCGGCACGTAGGGCGCGGTGCCACGGATGTCCCGTGCTTCACGGAGCACCCCGCACCCCGTCGAAGGTGGAAACGGATCACCCGGTTTGGACATCGTGTAAACGGTGCACGGAATCCGATAGATTGATGTCCTTTGATAGTATTGTATTATATCGTGGAAACATCGTGAACCCCATGTTTCGTTACTTATTACGTCTAGTAATTATTTATTACTTGTTTGTTTTGTTAAGTACTTCAAAGATTCAGAGCTAAACATCATGGATATTTTTAATATTATTTTCAATAGATACTTTGAAATTATATTAACTTTAAAAATGCCTTAATTAGAAAGTCGTCATGAGTCATTTGATCGTAGTGTATTCTAGTATAGATTTAGAAGTAGAGATATATTTTTCAACTGTGAAATTATTCATCGATATCATTAATATAAGTGCCATAGAGTTTTTTGTTATCAAGGCAGCATTTGAGAGTTGTTTAATACTTTGAGATACTTTTTTGCCTAGAAAGTAGTGAATTGATGGTTTCATCATTGGAAACATGACTTTGATTTTTCAGAATATACATATCAATTTATAATTAAATATATGAAACATGCGGCAATCACATGTATTACATAAATACAATATAATATTTATTTAAGCAACTTTTAATAAAGTAAGCTTTATCGAATTTTAGTAAACATTCAAGTATACTATATCCGTAATATTCGTATGACTATAGACATAAGTATTAAAATTCCATCGTTTGCTTGTAACATAATCTAATAGCATAAATACAATATAAACCAGCTATTGCTAAGAAGACTTTCATTCACAGAATGTCTGCCGTTATATTTATCGAGATTAAGTGCCTTGCAAACATTTCTATTCAACTATTCGCCACAAAAATGTTTGAATCTCCTTTAGCTGTGAGCTGCTGCAAATACCTATGAAACGAAAAACTTCACCCCCCCACGTACGTTCGCATTTTTCCTAGACAAGTATTACAAAATTTTCTGTCGCCGATACGAAGAAATTTAGTTAGAACGGTGCAACGCGCTCAACCCCGTATTAACGGTACCAACGTGCCCAATGATTTATGATGAAATAAACAATTTCCCCATTGCTGTCGGTTTTACTTTTGCTTTTCTATTTCATTCCCCGCACGTTTCTATCATCGTGACAGTGTATTCTTAGATTTTGACTGTAAACGCGCGAACAGCTCAGAAGGGAACAAGCAACGTCGTATTTACATTGTTTATTGCCCGGCGTACATATCGCACCGGTGACACACGCCATGCTTGAATCTGCTGTTCATTACTTTCACGGCTCACAGTATGTTACGTAAGTACCTCATAATTCTTAATTCGCGACGTTTTAATGATAGCCGCGAACACAGAAGCACGGAGATTTACCGATACGTCGCTAGATAGAAACCAATTTAACCTTCGGGCTTTAACCGTCCGTGTAATTGAATGAAACGCCTTACAAGGTCCGCGAAAATCCATTCGGACTTTGAAAAATTCAGGCACGCCGGGTTTCCGTCGACGATAGTGTCGCTTGCGCGACCGTTCAAGTCTCCGGGCCGTGCGTTAACGCGGTATTCCCACGTTACAAGTTAAAGACATCAATTTTACCTCTTACGTGTTAATTAATTACTATTTTTTAAGGCATATTTTTGAAATTCAATATTTGAGAATGCTTAACATTAGAAGAATCGCATCCATCAAAATGATGGCTTTCAGTTTTCTTACTTCGCGATTATCAATACCTTGAAAGCGTTAAATATTCGAAATGATTTGTAAAATAAATAGTTTCATTTTATTACTGTAATTAATATATGAAGAAACCGAAGAAAATTTATTGTTACAATTTTCATTAGGACTACGTATTAATTATGTTAAACCCTCTGATGTTCTGTTAAAGATTTGGATCGAAACGTGTATTGGTTGAAAAGGAATTTAAAATCGCATTAGGTTCTTAGTTTCTTTTCATAAGGTTTATGAACATGTTTACTGATTGTATTAGTAATTATTGTCATAACAAGAAAATAATAAATACGATAACGAAGTAGAAGAAAATAATAATGATAAAATAATACATCAGTAGGAGCACAAATTCATGACTTTAAAGAAAATATAAAAAATACTTGCCTGTAATGTTAAAGAGAATATTAAGTTTTCTTAATGAAACTTTCCTCACAACCAGCTTAAGACACGTACTTTTTACACCGATAACGTCACATGAAAAACAAATAATTCACCAAAGAAAAGGATAATTCAAATATTGCCATTTTGCAACTCTTTTCTCTCCTCAATCCTTTCAGGCATAAACTTACTCTCCAATAAATTTCCACGACTATTTACTCCATCATAACGGACAGCCTAATAATAAAATTCACAAGAAGAATCATGCGTACATTTCTGTTAATAAATACCACCACAAAATATTAATTTACCAACAATCTCAATACACCATGGAAACAGCAGTGAATTCAAAACTCTTCCAACAAATAATCTCTCTCTGAATCGAAAGGGTTGAACCGTCGTAGCCCCGAAAACGCCGTCGAACCCTTGAAAAACGAGGAGAAGGTCCGATCGGCCAGGGGCCCAATCTATAAACGCGTCGGGTGCGCATCAGCTTCATAATTCCCAGCGGCCGAAGAATTAAATCATAACGCTCGACTCGTGAAGCACGGCATAGGGAGGGGGGCGGCGGAGGCAGCACGGGGAATCAGGGGTTGTCCCCGACGGTCCGGTAACGCAGGGCCCCGCACGCGTGCAGCTACGCACGCAGTCACGCGTACACGCGAGATTACGAACGACGCCGTTTACGCTGAAACGGCGAGCAAT